CTCCAAAATGAAACACTGCAATGCAAAAGGGTTTTTTTGTAGGTGAATGTTTTAACTCTCTCTTTGCAACCTTAGAGAAATGCGAACAGCTGAATTTATGAGATTCTGAAATAATTTTTCACCTAACACTACCTCTACAAATTAAAGCTCAAATGCACCGAAAAAGCAAATGAAATGAATACAAAGGCTGTCTGTGCACAGTGGGATGCAGCTGCTCTGACACTGCAGAAGTGGGAGGGAGGAATGTATCATGCCTCTACCATCAGGAACAATCTAGCATGGATACCACCCCCCCCCCCCCACACACACACCAGAGGCCATCAGACTGAGGAGTTCTGTCGATCCGCCAATTCTACTAAAGGAGGACTGACCTCCAGTACTGTATTGTTGTATGGGCTTGCTTGCATTCAGACTACTATGGAGATAAAACCATTATCAGATTTACACAATGGCGCTTATTGCAAAACGACTGTACTGCACATGTCTGGCCTTTCCCACAGTAAATAACTCATGTATTAAATCCACAAATTTATGGTGATTCTCTAGTAGCAGCTAATGAGAAATCAAAAGTTGGAGGAGGGGGGGGGGAGGGCCTAGTTCCTTTTTTGCCTTTGCTGCTGCAATTGAAACAATCATGTCTGAAACATTTGCACCCAATAACATTCCTTCACCCCAACCAATAACTGTTAGCAATATCCTTCATTGACATTTCTGAACAATGGAAAGGAAACCATCACTACAGTGTTTGCAAATGTTATGTTTTCTTACATTAGTACCATAAAATAAAATAAAAATCTAATACACCTAGTATCAATATTAATACTTACACTCTTACATACTCCCTAATTTTCAACAGATACAAGGAGCTTAATTTTTATTTTACAGGCTTCTGCTTCAAGATTCCAATTTATGCAAGTGTGTGCAATATAAACCACTTCATCACAGTGCTTGTCCTTCTGAGAATCAGTTTTTTCCTGTTGGCTACCATGTCACTCTTTCTTCCAACTGGGAAGGCGTGACTGGCAGCCTCTTCTGACCCTAAAGTTAACAAGAACTGAAAGAGCAGAAGAAAGCTTTCAACGTATTTAGTCTGCAATGAAGTGAGTTAAAACAATAGATGAGTTTCTCCTCCCTTGTCTTCAGCTCCTCAGTATCAACATAACGGCCTTTCAACAGCAATCCTTTTATGTCAGATAGGCTGTGACAACTGATGTTGAAGGTTTCCCAACCCGTGACCTTTGTGCCTTACTTAAAAGTGTATCTCTGGGAATTCAGTTTAGATTTTTATTAATTTCTGCCCTCCTGCTTCTGAAGGTACAGTAATATTCCGCCTCTGTATGTCACAAGGACAAAGCAGCTGATATTCAATGGAACAGCTGCTTAATATGGGTGAGGAGGAACAGGGTACACACTGAGTAAGTAATAGCCTTCGGAGGGGCAAAATATACTTTCTCTTCCTTAGTATGGACACTAAACTGCTGGCTCGAGAGCAGTACACATGAAAAAGATCTTGGAGTCCTCGTGGAAAACAAGTTAAACATGAGCCAACAATGTCATGTGGCGGCAAAAAAAGCCAATGGGATTTTGGCCTGCATGAATAGGAGTCTAGAAGTCATGCTACCCCTTTATTATGCCTTGGTCAGATCACTCCTGGAATACTGTGTCCAATTCTAGGCACCACAACTGAAGAGAGATGTTGACAAGCTGGAATGTGTCCAGAGGAGGGCAACTAAAATTATCAAGGGTCTGGAAGCCCTATAAGGAGCAGCTTAAAGAGCTGGGCATGTTTAGCTTGCAGAAGGCAAGGCTGAGAGGAGACATGATAGCCATGTATCAAGATGTGAGGGGAAGTCATAGGGAGGAGGGAGCAAGCTTGTTTTCTGCAGCCCTGGAGACTAGGACGCAGAACTATGGCTTCAAACTAGGAGATTCCATCTGAACATGAGGAAGAACTTCCTAACTGTGAGAGCTGTTCAGCAGTGGAACTCTCTGCCCAGCAGTGTGGTGGGGTCTCCTTCTTTGGAGGCTTTTAAACACAGGCTGGATAGCCATCTGTCAGGGGTGCTTTGAATGTGATTTTCGCGCTTCTTGGCAGGGGGTTGGACTGGATGGCCCATGAGGTCTCTTCCAACTCTATGATTCTAAACAAGTCTGTTCCCAACATTGTGCTACCTGAGGCATTCTGCCATCTCCCCTCTATTTTATGTATAGAAGCTTGTTTGGACTCACAGCTGAATCTTATTTCGAAAAAGCCATAGAACAGCATTCTCTACTATAATTCAGGACAGTAGGTTAGTTATAGGGTATAAATGGCATACACAACTCTGTCTTCCAGAGTCCACTTTTCATATCTAACATCTGCTGTCTGAGAGAAACATCTCACTTAGCTGAATTGTGGTAGAGCTGCTCTTGGGATAACAAGACCACAGCTACAGCTATTTAATGGACTATGGTTTGTTGAGAAATTATAAGGCCCTGGGATTGTTCAGCAAAAAGTTCCTGAGCTCTACAAATCTATTTGTTTTAGAACTTTATGCTGGAACAACCCATCTGTTCTAACAAATACTTGGGCTCAAATAATCTGCAGTAAAGCAAAACAAGATGAAATGCTGGTACACAAAATTTACACAGACAAAAATAGAGATAGAATATTCCAGTAAAAAAGAAAGCAAAGCAAAAGCTGATATTGAAAATGAGTACTTTGAAAACTATTCTTGTAAAGTAGAACCATTTTAATACTACTGCACATATTTAGTAAAAAACAAAACAAAACAAAAAACACCCAGATAATTAAACATGTATTTTATTCTAAGAAATCATTACTGCCTTTCTATAAAAGGGATCCTAACTGTCATTGGACTCCTTCCTCCTTGCCTTGAGGTACATGATTGTGCTTCCATCTTCCCTTGTACATTGAAAAAGGAAAAAGGAAGCACAGTCTCTGTGTCAAAGTACTCTAAGTAACAACAATGACAATGTATTGATTTTAGGTGTTTGTTTAATTTGGATATAATTTATCATATGGAATAAATATATTTTTCATGTGTTTCCTGGACTTAAAAACATATTTTGAAGGAGATGGGGAGAAGAAAGGAGAATGTATAAGAACAGGTTATTTGAAGCATGTGAAGTTTGGGCTGATGGTGGAACATGATTTGACAAACAAAAAGGGTCACTCTGACTGAGTGATACTTACCCGAAGTTACACAATGGAGTCGAAAGCAATGCGGGATTGTGTATATTATTTTATTTCAGTTATACAAAACGACTCAATGCCTCTAGTGATAGTTACATTAAGTGTTGTAAGTTTAGTAGCTTCACTGTAAGATTGATTAGGAGACACAGAATAGGGCAAGAGAATTATGAGTAAAATTGCTTTTCTTCTGGAAGAAAAGAGATTAAAGGAGACTGATACAGAAAGGTGATCTGAATTGATAAATGGCCATGTGTACTTGCCAAGTTGCTTATATCTATGAAGAACATGTAAGACATTTGCACGTTGCAATGACTGTTTCCTTGACATGTTCTCCTCCCCCCTCCAGAGAATCCCATCTATTCACAGGGAAAAGATCTGGAATATGTCAGTTGTGCAACTTTCAGGCTCATGTGTAAGGGCTTATGAATTTGCCCTTCACAGCCTGAGATCTTAGAGAATATTCCTTCCTCGGCCTTTAACATCTACCGTTATTTGAGTCCCCAAAATATAGGGGATTAAGGCAATAATAAGGAATGGGACCTGTTCCACTATTATCCTGGAGCTGTTAATTTAAAGACTTCAAACATTAGAAGGAAGAGGATGGGGACTTTTGCTGATGTGACTGTAGCATTGCCTCTATTCTTCTGAAATTATTACTTTTGAAAACATTTTGAGTTTTTCACAGCATTGGTGTGTTTTGCTTGTGAGCTCAGAGTTTCCACAGCTTGACAACATCATTTTTTTGTTCTAAGTTGCCTTAAGCACAGTTAAACAAACAAAAATCCTGATGCCATAGATTTTGAATGGAAAATGATAAAGCAGCAAGATTTTCTCTTTTACAAAAGCTACTGTAGTCATCATTATATATGGAATTATTATACCTATGTAATCACAATATACTTTATAAGCTGAACATCAAGTGACAAATTGGCTATTTCAACTATGTATGGAATAGTTGATATAGTCTTCATGCTGTTCTTGAAAGAAAGAGGGTATAAATTTATATGATTTCCCCCTATACTTCTGAGCTAAGTGCAGACACACATCTATTTATATGTATGTACATGTTTTATTTTATATCGTAAAATATAATAAATTTGGATTGAATGAAATTTGAAACTGAAGCTCTGGTAGAATGCAGCAGAATGCATTAATCTGCCTGACCCTTCAGTGGAGACTACAATGGCCAACTTTTCAATTTCACTCTCCATCACAAGCAGCAATACTCTCTGTACAAGTGACCACATTCAAATTGAGTAGAACAGAGCTTACGTTTTGTATATATTGCATACATAAAGACTGGTTCCCATCCACTATCGATAAACAGTTGACTAATTTTTAAACTGTCAATAGTAATATGAGTAAAGTTCATCACAGGCCTAAACCGCTCTGAGTCGCCTGAGGGCTCAGAAGTAAAGTAAGTGAAGTAAATAAATAAATAAATAAATAAATAATAAACTTGTGTACAGAGGAAAAATACTTAGTATGTATTTCTTGGAATAAAACCATGATACTTAAGCATCAATATTGAAATGATGCTTTCAGTTGTACCATAAATCTCATTGCAACATGAAGTCAACATAGGACTGCAGCCTAAATTATAGAGATCGCAAATGAGGGAAATCTACTGTATTTAATCTACTGTATGTCTCTGAGAAACTGAAGAGTGTTGATATTGTCCCACATTGTAACAGCATACAAACAACAAAATATAGTAGAAACTGAACCTCAATTCCACTTAAAAACAACGGAGTACTCTGGAACATGTCAAAAATTTTTTGCCCATAATAGAAGGAAAAAATACCTTCTGCAGTGCCTGAGATACCATCAGCTTTAAAATTGCTTGTGCTTTTCTTCCTGCGATGTTTTTTTCGGTTTGCATGGGGAGAAGGAGGAGGGTCCAGTTTTGGACTTGTAGTACTAGATATACTTGGGCTGGAACACACAGAATCTCCCAAGCCGGTATCTGTAATCAGGAGGGGGAAAAACACAAGGGAATTTAAAATAAAAATTAGAAAGAGAGCAGTGCTGCATTTGACAAAACATTCAATTTAAAATTGTTCAGATGAATCATTCACCTAGAAATTCTGCGTGATTTGCCATGTAGTTCCCGGATTCAATATCAATCTATACCAATCCTAACCCTAGTTATGCAATGTTCTCATTTGATGTGGACACTGGTCATACGCCAGGTGAAAACACAGCTCGTAACTCAGGCGTTTGAGCCTCAGGGTTCATTGCTTTGCTTTTGTCCAATTTTTAAAATATCAAACAACTAATCAAAATTGAACTGTCAATCCAAAAATATTAAACTGGCTAATTGTGGTGCCTTGAATTGTTTTAATACTTTTCCAAGTTGTGTTACTGATTGTGACTTCAGGTGCAGGAAGTAAATGCTTCTCTAATTTATTTTGCTCATCAATTAATTTTCTTTCTTTATCTCTTATATTTCTTCCAAAATTATGACTTAAGGGAGCTCACAAGTTAAAATAAAAAGGCACAGACACACATAAAAAGGCACATACATAATGAAAGTAGGAAAGCACACTTAAAATAAGCTAGATTGTTTAAAAATAATTTAATTAAATAAAATTGGAATAACTTAATATCTATGGACAAACAACAGTATTCAGTGGACTTGAAGATGGTTGCTTCCAACCACTGGTTGCCGTTATTGTTGTTCTGTGCTTTCAAGTTATGTCCATCTTACGGTGACCCTAAATGAAACTTATCATATGGTTTCGTGTACAAGACTTTTAGAGGGGATTAGCCAGTGACTTCCTCTTGGAATAAGAGAGTATACCCAAAGTCACCAGAATCTGAATCCAACACTGGAACCATTCTACTATGCTGGTTGACAATATAATTTAGTTCATTCCTATTATTGTTCTTCCTCCTCTGAACAAATCTTGTGAGGAAAATTGTGAGATAAGAGTTGCCATAAGTGAAAAACAAATTGGAAGGCACAAAACAACAAATTATTGCCATTCGCTATGTTCCTGCTAGTCATCATCTCATTTTCTATTCCTCTGAACTGACTTTTGGATCACCTCCTCTCCCACTGGCATGAATACTCTAAGTAAACAAGGTTGAGAGGGACAACACTGTGTCAAGACAGCAGAATTGTTGTGAACAAATGTGCCAGGAGTGGGAGCCAAGATTTACTCCGGGACCTTTGTAGGGCTCATCAACCTGTTTCACTTATTTTATTTTTCAGTTATTTGTGGCCACTGTCCCCAAGTCTGGAAAGCTTTGGGACAGGTTATGGGGTGAAAAATAATTGTATTTGCCAAACTTGGGGACTGTCTGAGATGAGTTCCATAGGATTTATTGTAAAATGGTGGATTGAGCCACACTTTCAATTCCACATTACAACATACAACCACTATTATTGACATTTGTTTTAGCATCTCTAAAAAGCTGGCCAGGAGAAGATTTGTGGGTCACAATGGGAAAAGGAACCTGTGATACAATTGACTCCCGTCTTATTCCTCCCAGCATAGCATCCAAAACAATAAAACCACTTTAGATGGGAAACCGGTATGTGCACTAGCAGATATTACTGTCTTCTAAATGTGGCCCATTGCAATAGAAGTTTGCTGTTGTTTTTTCTGAGCTGGATTGGCTTCTTTAAAGCTTGTTTTTTAGCACCAGGGTGGCAATTAACACATTGCAGTTTTGAAGCAGGAGCAGAGATGTTCTAGTTATGGGCAAGGGAACATGACCCTGACCTCTGCCCTAACTCCCCCAGGATCCCCAGATATTTAGACCTCAAACAAGAAAGCTGAAAACAGAAAGTGTTGGAGCCGAAGTGCTGTGCTTGCTTTCATCCTCTTTTTCTTTTTCTGTCATTTATCATTTCTAGCTGAAGGGCTACTGAAAATGTGCAGTAGCTGCACATGTTCATAATGTCCCGAAAGCTCAACGGAGAGTAAGTGCTACTCGGATTAAGACTTAAGGCTGCCTCCATCAAGAAATATACCTGCTATTGTCCAGTTTCATTTTGATGATTTCCCTTTTGATTGGAATGAAACAAAGGTTTAAGCAGCAACACCTAATGAGCCAAAATTGGATGTTGTGGCTTCTGAAGCAAAGTCTTTGGTGTTGCTTTGTGGGTCAAAGGCACCACACAACCAATGGTAACTAGACTCTCCCATGAGCCAAATTGTTTCTACAGTGGTGAACCTACCATATTTACTTGACTCAAATGCTCACGATTTCTTTTTGGCTAAATGACCTTGCCAAAATTGGGACACACAGAAGATTCACATCATACAGTGATCATAGTGCTGAGCCAAAGCAAAAGGAGAAGCTCCTTCAGGAGCTGCATCTGGAGTTCCTCTTTCAATTGCATCTGGAGTTCCTCATTTAATTTCTAATTAAATGACCACGGCTCACTGCTATGCAATCCTGGGATCTGTAGTTCTTTTCAAATAACAGTAGCTATGAGAAGAAGAAGAAGAAGAAGAAGAAGAAGAAGAAGAAGAAGAAGCCGCCTCTCCTTGTGGCTCAGTCACTGAATGGGGGATATATTAAAGGGCATGGCAGCTTCCAATCCTTTCATAAAGGGCTGTATTTTAGAACCAGTATGATCCATTAGCATAGTTTAAATCTGAATTCACTCTGCTAGCTTACTATTTTAAGTATAAATGTATTAATTTTTAATATTCTTGGGATTGAATGCACCACACTATATATTTATGCAGATGAGTGGCTTAAAATCGGAGACACAGGCCTCGTTCAGAAGGCATACTCCTTTTCTACTAAAGGTGCACTGCCATCATATTTTTGACCCGCATTGACTTTTAATGCCTGAAAGAGTTCTGTGTTCAGTCAGAGTATTCGATAATACTGTTCTTTGTATCATTCCAATTAACTGTACCTTAAGTGAATTGAAATGATGTAGAAAACAGCATTATAATATGCTTTTATTGAACAGAGAAACCCTTTCTGATACTAAAATGGAACAGAAGTGCTTTCATACAGGCAGACTCTTTTTTATATCCTCCTTGTGATATGCCTTTGTGTTACATTGTTTAATTCCTCAGCAACTGCAGATTCATGTAAAGGAATGTGTTTCAACCAAATCAGTCTTCATATCCTACAGCACCAACTTCTCAAGTGTAGGGCCGACCTGAAAAATGAACTTGCTGCTGTAAGTCTTTATGATGTACAATGGTTTTCAGATAATAGCGTACTGTTTGTGGGTCAGAGAGCTCAAAGCGAGGAGAGCATGAGGTATGTGCTTCCCTCCTCATCTGGAAAAAGAAATGGGAATTCGGGATGCAGAACTCCGCTTTCATTGTTTCTCTATTAACACCCCACATTTCTAGTTTCCAGTAGTCTATGAATACAGGTTACTTTGCATTTTCCTGCCTTAAAATATAGGCCAGTAAAACATACCAGGCTTACATGCACTGGTTTCCCATTTCTGCCTGCTAGACAAGGTATTTACTCTTCAAACTAAAAAGGGTCTCTTCAAAACTGTAAATGAGTTCTAGCTTCAACCCACTGCGTGCAATTTTATATTCCTGACTGAATACAAATAACACATTTTATTTAGCATCAATTACTGAATGTGAGAACAGATGACCACTGCTGCTACTATTAAACATAAAAGGCACACCAAATTAAAAAGAAACAAGTGCCTCATTACTCTGCAACCTAACCAGCTTTGACAGAAGCACCAGAACTCATAAGATGTGTTTCACCGAGCAGGAGTGGGTTGCCGCAATCCTGTGCAGTCGGTGTCAGCCATTAGTTCTTCCCAATCGGGCACTAATGTTCAATGCTTAAACATATATAAATGGTAGTAATAATAACAATAACAATCTGTGCAGCATCTGAGCTTCCATACTTGAAGGATGAGTCAAAAAAGCAGTTTCACTTTTCACTCGGGAAGCTGGCAAGCATGACTAGAGGGGGAATAAAATAACATTCAGTTCGCATAAATATCAAACAGGCTTCTTGAGACTGATGGGCCAGGAATATATTCTTAGCCATCATTCTGGCAGACAGGCCCAAGGACACTCATAACTTATTTTACAATCATTTAGTTTCAGCTCAAGTGGAAAACGTGACAACTTATCTCTGCTGACAAGATGCGATATCAAACCTTACAATTAACTTTCCTATGATTATCTGCCCAGCCCATCATTAGCTCGGTAGCTTCTAATGGCAGCTACAGGCAGCTTTTCTGATGATGGTCATCAGTTTTAGGATTTATAGCTACATTATGTTCATTCACAATTTTTAAATAAAATACACCTCTTCACACAGAGGAACATCTGAATTAAGAGTGAGCTGTGGTTTTATATTCTTCAGCCCTGAACACAATTCACATGGAAATGGGAGAGTGAGAACTTATGGGGAAACAAAAGAGAACAGCATATCCCAGATAAAATTAACATTTGGTACAATTGATAGAAGTGAGGTGACAGTAGAATACTGACAGAAAATATCAAATTTTAACCCAGACAATTGTGGTTCAAGGTTTGTCTCCCATTATGAAGTTTAAGCCAAGTTACAAGACTGTCTTAATTGTAGTGTGTCTATTTATTACAGAGATGGGAAATATAATAAAACTTTATTAACTTGCAACTTTGTGGGTTCTTGAAATACCTTGCCAAGAAGTATGGTGTTCCTGGTAACCCTCTTCTCTACAGAAATTATTGGTTTCCTAATTCGTATATCTTCCAATTCTATACCCAAATCTACTAGAGGAATTAGATCCAAAAATGGTGGCACAACGAATACAGGATATAGAGGCTCAGAAAGACATTGCCACCCTTAGTAAAGCCGGCTCACTGAAATGGCTAAGTCGCTTTAAACATACTTTTCAAACAGCCGAATACTTAAACATCTAAGGAGGGTATTCACTAGAACCCGATTCGAACAGACAGATACAATGGTTAAACATGGAAGGTTTAACCAAGTTCCATATAATGAACGTTTCTGTATCTGTGG